ACTGCCTTTCCTACAGGCCTGGTTGCCACTAACTGCCCTCCCCTGCCAGCCCGGTTGCCCCTAACTTCCTCCCCTGCCAGCCTGGTCCCCCCTAACTGCCCTCCCCTGCCAGCCTGGTTGCCCCTAACTGCCCTCCCCTGCCATCCTGGTCACCGCTAACTGCACTCCCCTGCCAGCCTGGTCACCCATAACTGCCATTCCCTGCAGGCCTGGTCCCCCCCAACTGCCCTGCCCTGCTGGCCTGATTGCCCACAACTGCCCTCCCCTGCCGGCCATATGTGACCACATGGGGCGGCCATCTTGTGCAAGGGTGTGACGGTCAATTTGCATATTACTTCTTTATTATATAGGCTTGTGGGTTTGTGTGTGTGACTCCTTCTCAGCTGTACACTTTGAGAATCTACTGGTTAGCACCTGATATATGGTTAGTGCCTGGTAAATGTGGTCTGAACTAGTGAAGGTGATTGACACCCGCTCCTGATGAGGTTAAGTACAGGGAATGCAGAAGGGCCCCTTGATGAAGCTCAGGATATCAGCTGGAAAGGAGAATTAAGAAGATAAGAGGGCCCAGCAAGTGTGGCTCAGTAGTTGAGCATCAACCCATGCACCAAGAGGTCAGTTTGATTCCTGGTCAGAGCACATGCCCGGTTGCAGGCTCAATCCCCAGTAGGGGGTGTGCAAGAAGCAGCCCATTGATGTTTCTATCTCTCTCTCCCTTCTTCCTCTCCCTCCCTCTCTCTCTCTCAAAATCAATAAAAAAAACATTTTAAAAAAGAAGATAGGAGATTATGAAGTTAAGGCAGCTACAGTGTTGAGGTCATGCACTCCAAGAGGTGGCAGAAAGCGGAACAGAATATGGCTATGTCCCTTGGTGTTGGGGATCCGGGGTGTCTATACAAGGGGCTACTGGAAGGGACAATCAGGGAAGGGAGCAAGGGCCCATGTTGGTGTGAGCCCTCATCCCATCAGGACTCTGAAGGCTGAACTGTTCTTGGTTTTATTCCCAGGCCTGGTGAGTAATGTGGTGTTCACCAGTCATACCACGGAGCAGAGGCACCCGCTCCTCGTTCAGCTGCAGAGCCTCATCAGGGCTGCCAATCCTACCACAGCCTTCATTCTTGCAGAAAATGGGATTGTCACCAGGTAAATTTATCCCGTTCCCTTCACCCCACAGACCAGGCATCTTCTCAGATCAGCAGCTCCCCTCTGGTAATGCACCACAGGGTCTCACTGTACCTGAGTCCTGAGCCATTACAGAAGTGCTGATGCTGCGTGAATCACCAAAAGGACACTATGTGTCAGAATCCTGTCCTGTTTTGAGATATTTTATTTTAATGCATTCACATTTTCATCCATTAAGGAATGGAAGTCAAGAATTTCTCAAGTTCCTGTGTTAACATGTAAGAAAAATTATATAGAGAACATAGAGAAATTATCTTTTTACTTCATGGACTTGGGTCCAAATTACAAACTAAAAATAGATCATTGGTGACTTTGTATGTGTGTGTACGAAAGCATCTGATTGTATAGCAATTTTGTTTGCTCAGTAAGGACACTGAAAGGTATATATTTTTTATATAATTTTGACTTTTTTAGAATATATTTTTATTGACTTCAGAGAGGAAGGAAGGAGAAAGGAATAGAAACATCAATGATGAAGGAGAATCATTGATTTGATCAGCTGCCTCCTGCATGCCCCCGACTGGGAATCAAACCCCCAACCTAGGCATATGCCCTAGCCAGGAATTGAACTGTGACCTCCTGGTTCATAGATTGATGCTCAACCACTGAGCCATGCTGGCTGGGCTAGTTTTCACGTTTTAAAAATTGATTTAAGTAAGGGAGAGAGAGAAACATCGATTTGTTCTACTTATGCATTCATTGATTGATTGTTGTATGCGCCCTAATCTAGAGATTGAACCCTCAACCTTGGCATATCGGGACAATGCTCTAACCAACTGAGCTACCCAGCCAGGCTAGTTTTGACTTCTGAGCAATGCAAATATTTTACATATTCAAAAATTAAATGAAACCAACAAGGAGGGAAAAATCTAAATACAAACAAAAAAGTGAAACCATCTGCAATCACACACACACACACACACACACACACACACAAAATAATTCACATAATCCTCCATTGGTATCCTGATTCCAAACAGCATCACTGAATAGAGAAGGGAGATTATAAATATGGCCCTAGCCAGTTTTCTCAGTGGTTGGAGCTTTGGCCCGTGGACTGAAAGGTCCCCGGTTCAATTCCAGTCAAGGGTACATACCTTGGTTGCAGGTTCGATCCCTGGCTGGGTCAGAGCATGTACGGGAGGCAACCAATTGATGTGTCTCTCTCACATCAATGTTTCTCTCTCTGTGTCCCTCTCCCTGCCTTCCACTCTGTCTAGAAATCAGTGGGGGAGAAATATCCTCCGATAGGATTAATAATAAATATGAAATGGGAAAGGTGAGGGAAAACCCTGTAAATGTTGGATTTGAATTTGGGGGAACTCAGTGTAAATTTATTATTTTTATTTTTTTTTATTTTTTTCTGGCTCTCCCGAAAGGAGGCCTCCACCCAGGTGCTTCCTGCACCTGAGGGAGCCGGGGCTGCACCGGCGAAGGCCGGGGTCCGCGTGGGCGGCGACCTCGGTCAGCCCGGGTCGGCGTTGGCGTTGGCGGCCCTCCTCCCGGCGCCCCCGCGCGGACCACAGCTCCTCGGAGAACCGGCCCCGGAGGTCGCGGGGCGGGCCTGCGGAGGCTCCGCGCCCCTCCGCTGCTCGCTCCTCCTCTTCTTCCCGAGAGGCCCCGCCCGGCCGCTGGGACCTCAGAGCCGGAGACCAGAGCCTGCCCCCGCGCGGCCCGCGGTGCGGCGAGCCTACTAAATTTATTATTTTTAAAAAGGTATATTTACGAGCTCTTTCCATTGAAAGGGACCAGAAATACTAATGCCACAATAAACACCCTACCTCTAGATCTTGGTTTTTATGTACCAATCCACTGTCAGGTATCAGGACTCCTTGGAGAATTGGCTGATTGCAGGTCTAGGGCAGGTACATTTTTTACACAAAAAAGGAAAGATTTGTGTAGATATGTCAAAAGGATAGGGGAACTATCTTATGAAGCTGTCAGTAGCCAAATTTGGGACAACTTGAGTGTGAGAAAGAATAATGATAATAATGGGTTATAGCACATGGAATAAGGTGAGTCTATGTGATACTAAAAAAATGAAGAGGGGCAGGATATTAAAACTCTTTTAACAGGCAAATGCTAATAAATAAATAAGGATTTCTAGAACTAGAAAGTCAGCATCTTGTAACCTTTGGTATAATAACTTGGTTTAGGCAAAAATCAGTGGATGCTCAGTAGTTGACAGATTGTTGAGGAAAAGGATATTCACTAGTCTCAGAGTATCACTCCACAGACTACTTACTACTTAAAAAGAGGGAAAGTACCTTCACAGTAAGAGGAGAGGGTCTTGTAGTCATGACATTGACCAAATGATTCAACTTAGCAAGGCCACTAATGGGACAAATTGGCATCGTGTGCCTACGTCCTGTGATGCTATGGGAAGGACACATCACCTGGTATTAATCTTGCCAAAAATGTTTACCTGAATCTAATCATGAGGAAACAACCAGACAAATCTAAGTCATGGGACACAAGACAACTGGCATATAGTCTTTAAAAAGATTAATGTCATGAGAAACAAACACACAAGAAAGTTGGAGGAATTGTTCCAGATTAAAGAAAAATAAAGATTGTAATTTTGATAGGTGATACTTGATTGAATCCTGGGTCTCCCTAACCCCTAGAAAGGGAAAATTTGAAAATGGATGTATACTAAATCAATACTTCTTCAGCTTTAATGTGCATATGAATCTCTTGAGGATTATTAAAATGAGGGTTCTGATTTAGTGGGTCTGGAATAGGGCCTGAGATTCTGCATTTCTTTTCTTTTTTTTTATAATTTTTATTTCTTAAAGTATTACAAAGAGTATTACATATGTCTCCTTTTTTCCCCCCCTTGACATTCCCCCGACTCCTACCCACCGCCCCCCCCACCGCCCTGTGTCTTGTGTCCATTGGTTAATCTTATATGCATGCATATAAGTCCTTCAGTTGATCTCTTAATCCCCCCCAAACCCTCCCTAGGCTTCCCACTGTAGTTTGACAATCTGTTCAATGTTGCTCTGCCTCTGTATCTACCCCTGTTCATCAGTCTATACTGGTCCCCTTTATCTGTCCCAACCTCACTGGAGTAGTCTCAACCTCACCAGGGCCGTCGGAGCCTCACCAGGACCGTTACAGCCTCACCGGGG